GGAGCGAGGAGGAGGAGGAGGAGGAGGAGGAGGAGGAGGAGAAGGAGGCGGAGGAGGAGGAGGAGGAGGAGGAGGAGGAGAAGCGAGGAGGAGGAGGAGGAGGAGGAGAAGTGCAAGTGAGGCCGATGACGCCAACCTCGAGGCAAGAAGCGGAAACGAATCCCTGGACGCCCGAAATAGGTACGGAACAAGTGGCACGATGCCACACAGCGAAGGCTGTCGAAAACCTACAGCGGCCGCTGTTGGGCACGGGACACTTTTAGCCTCCAATGGGCTACGACCGCGGGGACCGGCAGCGAGCCCTGTCTGGAGCGGACCGGAACTGCTGCTGGCCTTCGTCGCCCTCATTCGAGAGGCAACAATGAGGGGTGGCTGGTACAAGGGGGAAACATCGGCCGGGATCGGCGATACCTCGCCGATAAATCGGCGACAGGCTCCCGATAGCAGAACCCGCGCGTTCCTCGGCGGGGTGGGGCTGTCAGACCCCTATCGGTGATCGGTGGGGGGTTGACGCGTTCCCCCCGAGTCTATCCCTGTCCCTCCCCCCTATCTTTGCCCCTGATTCTTTATGTAACCATTCCGATCCTCCAAACATGCACGCGGCCCCCCCGAAACCGCGACTCCCTGGACCTCTCTGGGGGCGCGTTCTCACCAGACTTTCGTCGAGACGAATCCAGCCGTGGCGACGAGGGCCTCTCAGGAGGCCCACAGAGGCGAAAACGAGGCAAGGGGTAGCTCTAGCGGTGTATCCCCAGACATCCAGCTGCTCAATGTCTTCGATGCGTGGGCCCCAGAAGCCCGGCGAGGGCCCCCAGAGAGACCGAAAACGGCCCAAAACCGCCTGCCCGACTTTTTTTGGTCAGAGCTCGAGACTGTCATTGCGAATGCGACTGCGACTGCGAGAACAGCAGAATTCTACAACTGGATTCTCACCTGAATCTTAAAGGGAATGCTTCCAGATATGCTTATACACATCGCTGTTAGGTTGCTTTGCCGGGATAATTTTGGTCAGAGATCGAAAACGGCCACGAACCGCCTGCCTGCACCAACGGCCCAAAAACCCAGAGATCGAACACGGCCAAACACCGACTGGGCATCGCTCGGACGTCCATTCCCTGTCCTGTGTTTTTTTCGGTGTCGCGCGTGGCTTTTTCGCCAAATCATAAAGGATGCTCCTCGATGGTCCTCGCCGAAGGAAAAATGCACACGTCCGAGCGATGCCAAGCCGAGCGGCGGCGGTCTTGGCAGCTCCGCCCGCCGTGGCGCCCGCGCCCCTCCCTGCAGCAGCGGGCCCGACGTCCGCCGCCAGGGGCCCCATGGAGCACGGCCGCCCCCCCCCGCGCGGCGGCGGTGGGTGGCCGCGCCGGCGGGGCGCCCGTGGGGCTGAGGCGGCCGGCGGCTGCACCAAGGAGGGGGGGGCACGAGGAGGAGGAGGAGGAGGAGGAGGAGGAGGAGGAGGAGGAGCGAGGAGGAGGAGGAGCGAGGAGGAGGAGCGAGGAGGAGGAGGAGGAGGAGCGAGGGGGGGAGGGGGGGTTGTGGCTGATGGGGTCAGGCACCCTTGAAGCCTATGGCCGATAGCGAGCTTGGTAATCCTCCCACTCCCCCTCCTGCTCACCCGCTCGCTGGCTCTGAAACAGGCGAGCAAACAGCAGCACAAGGGCGAGGATTGGGCATCGGGGATCGACTGCACATGTCCACCAGCGACAATCCTCCTCCTCCTCCTCCTCCTCCTCCTCCTCCTCCTCCTCCCTCCCTCCCTCCCTCCCTCCCTCCCTCCCTCCCTCCCCCCCCTCCTCCCCCATCCCTCCCACCCTACCCCCCTCCCTACCTCCCTCCCTCCTCCCTCCCTGCCTCCCTCCCTCCTTTCCCTCCTCTCTTCCTCCTCTTCCTCCTCCTCCTCCTGCTCCTCCTCCTCTCCTCCTCCTCTCCCTCCTCCTCCTCCTGCTCCTCCTCCTGCTCCTCCTCCTCCGCCTCCTCCTCCTCCTCCTCCTCCTCCTCTCCTCCTCCTGCTCCTGCTCCTCCTCCTCCTCCTGCTGCTCCTCCTCCTCCTCCTCCTCCTCCTCCTCCTCCTCCTCCCGGGCGCCCGCCCGCCCGCCCTCCCTCCCTCCCTTCCTCTTTCCCTCCCTCCCTCCCTCCCTCCTCCCTGCTCCCCTTCCCGCCCTCCCCCACCGGCCCTCCCCGGAGGCGGCGGCGCAGGGCGGCCAGCCGGGCCGGCGAGGAGGAGGCCGGAGAGCCCCCCCGGGGCGAGCCCGCGAGGCGGCGTGCACGGCGAGTGCGCTGCCCGGGGGCCCGCTCCCGCTCGGGACGCGCCCGCGGAATCGGGCTGGAGGCTCGCCGCGCGGCCACCGCGCGACGGGCGCGGCAGGGGGGAGCCTCTGCGAAAGGGGCCCTGGGACACACGAGAATAGATGGACACACAACTCCCAGGACCCTCCACACGTTTCCCACGTCTTCTGGGTTTTCGTCTTCCCCCACGCTTCCCGCAGTTTCCCGCATCGTCCTCGGGATCGAAGATTCATCGTGCCGGGGTGCTTTTTCCCCTCCTGAACCTGGGACGCTGCATACCTGGGGACCCTCCTCTGTGGCGCTCCGCTAAAAGAAAGAAAGAAAGACGCCACAGAAGGAAGCATAAACTTTCGTGGGCGAACAACGACGTATGTACATGTACGCCCTCCGCGGTCTTGCCTGCACGAACGTCCGCGTGAACACGCACTCCAGGGGAAACTAACCGAGTACGTGTACATATGTTGCTGGCCTCTGATTTCGGCGCTCCGCGCGGTGCCTTGGACCTGCGCCAGACCCCCCGCCCTGGCAGGCGGAGCGCGCCGGGGGGCCTCCGGCGGGGGGCCCCGCGCGGCTCCAAGAAATCCGCGCGGAGGACCGCAAGTTTAGCAGGGGGCCACATGCGCACCCTACCCCTACCTATCTATATATATATATATACATATATATATATATATATACCCCACGATTTCTGAGGGGGAGGGGGGGGTCACTACGTTCGGGGGCTCCCGAATGAAGTGACCCCCCCCCTCCCCCTCAGAAATCGTGGGGAGTATAGGGGTATAGGGTTCGCATGGGGCCCCCTACTTCTGACTGTGGCGTTGTACCTTCCTCGATGCATGCCTGGGGGGCCCGCCCCCGGCCAGAAGAGCTCGCCGAGGCGCGGCCGAGAGCGGTCGCAAGGCCCTCATCTAGCATGCCCCCTCTTTGGTGGCCGCAGCGTGCCAATGCCGCTCCTGACCGTGCATCTCCCCTGACCTTCCAGGAGGGCTAAAAAATAGCACCCGACCTGAAAACCTATCCTAGAGCTATTATACGTCTTGGTTTTAGGCTGTTTCGCTCAGCTTTTTAGGTTTTCAGGTCTCCAGTGCTAAACCATAGCTCTCTGGAAGGTCAGGGTCCCGGCTTCGTTCTGGCCAGGGCTTCGAGGCGACTCCGGCCGCGGCGGCGGGGGCCCCTCCTGGGAGGCCCCACGGGCGCACACGAGGCCAGGGGCAGCGGCAGCGGCGCACCTCCTCAGAGATCCGAGGCCGTGCTTCTGTCCAGACGGGGCCCCCGGAAGTGTCGACCACGTTCCCTGACCTTCCAGAGAGCTATTTTTTAGCACTGGAGACCTAAAAACCTAAAAAGCTGAGCGAAACAGCCTAAAACCAAGACGTAGAATAGCTTTGGGATCGGTTTTTAAGTCGGGTGCTATTTTTTAGCCCTCGGAAGGTTAGGGACGTTTTTCATCCCGAACCGTTTCTTCACGGTCCTGGGGCCCGGCGAGGGCCCCTGGAGGCCGGAAGGTGCCAAGAGCCTCCGCCATGGGTGCTCTCCTGGTGCACCTCTTCCTCCCCTGAGATGCCGCCACGAGAGGGGCCCGGCCGGGGGGAGGCGGCGAGGAGGGGAGGAAAGGGGGGTTCTGCTGGGAGGTGGACCGGCGAATGGCTCTCCCGCTGCTCCCTCGCGAGAGACGAGCGGCACGCCGATCCTCCGCGGAGACAGCAGCGGAGCGGTGCCGCGAGGGAGCGAGGGCGGGCGAGGGTCGCGGCGGGGCCGAGGCGGGACCGGGGTGGAGGGGGGGAGGCTGCAGGAGACGGACGGACCCAGATGGAGGAGCGCGCCGAGGTCGGGGATGCAGAAGGAGGAGGAGGAGGAGGAGGAGGAGGAGGAGGAGGAGGAGGAGCAGGAGGAGGAGGAGGAGGAGGAGGGAGCGTGCCGAGAGGAGGAGGAGGAGAGGAGGAGGAGGAGGAGAAGGAGGAGGGGCTGGGGGAGGGGGTCGGAGGAGGATGTGGACGGGGAGGAAGGCAGGAGGGGGCGAGAGGGGGAGGGAGGAGGAATGGGGGCAGGGGAGGAAGAGGTTGGGGGAGGGAGGAGGGGTGGGGGAGGAGGACGACGAGCGGGAAGAGGAGGAGAACGACGAAGCTGGAGGAGGCTGGAGGAGGATTACTGGGTGGAGAAGGAGGGGTATCGGATCGGATCGGAATGAACGCTCATCGTCAGCCTATACAATAGCACATGAAGGAGTAGGAAGGCAGAGAGAGAGAGAGAGAACGGGGATGGAGGGGGGGAGGGGAGGAGAAGGGGTAGGGGGAGGGCTGGAGTAGCCTCCTCTATCCTTCCCGTTGATCCTGCTCCTCATCCTGCACCCCTCATTTCCTCTCCGTATGGGACCCTGCCTTTTCCAGCAGCAGTTTCTTGCTGTTTGACATCGTGCCAGCGTTCGGTACCAGACAGACCCGTCGCGTCCTCAATATTATACTATTCCGCGGTTTCCTCCTCCGCTCCGTCTTCCCGTCTTCCCGTCCTCCCCCTCCCAGCTATTCCCAGTGCTCCTCCGCATCCCCCTCCTCCTCCACTCATATCCCCCCGCCCCCACCCTCGCCCTCCTCCTCCCCTGCTGCTGCTCCTCCTCCCAGCTCTCCTTCTGCATCTCCTCCTCCTCCTCCTCCTCCTCCTCTTCCTCCTCCTCCTCCTCCTCCTCCTCCTTCTCCTCCTCCTCTGGGGGGCACGAGTCGTTGTTTCCCGGTTGCCGCAGGCCGGACGAGTCTTTCACACGCGGCAGAGTCTGGGAAGCTGCCGCGGCGACCCGGACTTACGACCGGGTCACTCTATCCTGCCCCCTGTCGATTCGACAAGACTACTGTACCAAAATACGATCTCGAGAACGCTCGTGGCATAGCAGAAGCCGTGTGTGGGCATCCTTACAGGACTCGCCCGGGCTTGCAGAGTCAAAACCTACGACAGCAAAGCTCTTTATTCTCGAGAACTCCAGAATGGGCAAGCAGCAGAGAGGAGACTTGACTCTTGAAGCCACCATGACATAGCAAACATCATCGCGCACCATGGCAGAGAATCATTGATCCTGCTCTGCGGAAACCCCACCACCCCTCTGGGCGTAAGTGGTCCGAAGATACTGCTCCTCTTCCAGAACCCCTCTTTCCTTTGGAGAGGGGTACCCTCCCCCTTCGCCCCCCCAGGTTTTTGTTGGGGATGCAGCGAGCGGTCAGAAGGCCCAAGATGGCCTAAGATGGCTCCAAGAGGGCCTCCGATGCTCCACGATGGCCTGCAAGATGGCTCAAGATGGCTTCCAATATGCCTCAGAAGTCCCCAAATACTGCTCCAAGACGGTTCCAAGCGCTCTCGGAAAACCCTCGGGAACCCCCCTAATAGGCCCAAATCCTTCAAACATATCCGCCGGCCCCCTTGCGGGGCCATCAGGCTGCGAGGATTAGACTTGCTGCTCCCTGCTCCAGTTGCAGGTTCCAGTTCCCATTGTGATAGTTTCGCTTTCTGCTTCCTACTGTAAACTATTACTGTCCGCGCGAAGGGGGAGAGCCCCAAACCAGCAATTCAACCGCGCCCGAATCACGTCCTCAGCATGCCTGGGAGGTCGTGGGACACGTCAAAATACACGAAAGCCGTGCTCTCGAGGCTATAATCCCTGGTGAAATACACCACGTTTGCGTCCCCGAGGCCACAAACCCTAGGAAATTACAATGTTGGCGTCCCCAAGGCAACAAACCATGGACAAGTATACAATATTCGCGCCCCCGAAGCCATACACCCTTGCGAATTCTGCCATATTCGCAGTGCCGAGGCCAAGAATGCTCCAACGCGCCCGAAGATGGTTCCAAGACGGCCCAAGATGGCCCAAAGAGGCCCCAAGAACGCGCCAAGAGGCCTCACGAGAGAGCCCCAAGAGGCCAACATCGTAGATTTTACCAAGGTTTTTGAATGAGTTTGGCCTTCCCGCATTCTCTTTTTGCCGACGCTCCAAGACGGCTCAATAAGATCCCAAGACCGCCCCAAGACAGCTCAAGACGCCTCCAAGAGAGCCCCAAGACTGCCCAACAAGATGGCCCAAGAAGCGCTCAAGACGGCCCAAGAGGGCCCCAAGACGGCCCCAAGAGGGGACCAAGCAGGGAACCACGAACCGAACATTCGATTTCTGTACCCCGAAAAGCCCCCAGGAGGCCCCAAGAGGCCGCCGAGAGGCCCCAAGAGGCCCCAAGAGGCGCCCAAGACGCGCCCAAGAGGCCTCCAAGAGGCCCAAAAGATACCACACGAGGCCCCCAAGAGGCGCCCAAACAGCCTCCAAGAGGCCCCCCACTAAACCCCAACACATATACAAGAGGCCTCAGACCCACAACCCAAGCACGGTGGTGGGACGGGCCGAAGGTCACCAGGATAACGCCAACGTCTCAACTCGCGCTGATGATTCCTATCCGCCCCCGCATGATGTTCCCAGGTGCGCCAAAGCAGCGCCGAGACGCGCCGACGCGACTCTGATATGTCCCATTCTGATAGAAAGGGGGCCAGCGGCAGGCGGCAAAGCCCTTACGGGTAAAACACAATGGTGTTTGCCTTCTCGCCTTTTCGCTTGCGTTGCGCTTTTTAGGCTGAAGATTGCGCCAAGATGGCCCAAGAGAGGCCGAAGAGGGACCCAGACGAGCGCCCAGGAGCGCCCCAAGAAGCGAGTGTAAGGGCCGCACAGGCAGGTCCTAGATCAGGGGCATCCCTTCATGTTGGTCGATGGCCTCCAAGATGGCCCCAGGAGACCCTCCGGGGCTCCCAAGAAGGCCCCCAGAGAGCCTCAAGAGGGCCCCAAGAACCACCAAAAGAGCTCCAAGAGGACCCCAAGACCCCCGAAAAGAACCCCAAGAGAGCTCCGAGAGAGCCCCAAGAGGGCCTCAAGAAGACCCCCAGATAGCTGCCAGAGTCCTCGTCCTCGTCTCCTCACCCCCTCCTCCTCTTCCTCTCCTCCTCGTTCTCCTCCTCGTCCTCCTCCTCATCCTCCTCCTCGTCCTCCTCCTCCTCGTCATCCTCCTCGTCCTCGTCCTCGTCCACCATCGTCCTCGTTCTCGTCTCCATTTTCCTCGTTCTTGCCCTCGTCGCTCTCCTCGTCCTTGCCCTCCTCTGCCTCTTCTTACTTCTTATCCTCCTCCTCCTCCTCGTCCTCTCGTCGTCGTCACTATAATCCTCCGCCTCCGCCTCCTCCTCCTCCTCCTCCTCCTCCTCCTCCTCCCGCTCCTCCTCCGCGTCCTCAACTCACCGTGGTTACCCGCTTTGATTTACTATGTGCCTCATCCTCCCATGTCCCGTCAGCTTTCGTGGGCAGCGTTTCTGAATGGGCTGGTTGGGATACGCGAAGCTTCAAGACTTGTATGTTCTTTGTCTGCACGTTCTGCTACAATGCGAAATGGATTCATAACATGGTCGCGGGCACCGTCTGATGTGATGGTGTGCTTCCCCCAGAACCCATCATCCACGAATCAAGGACGTGCCATACTTGCGACGACGACGTGTGACAATGCAAGCGCGAAAACAAGATCGCGTCGACTGCGCAGTCGCAGCTCGTTAACGGGAAGAACAGAATCGAGCGTTCGAGAAAGCACATTGGGAGACAACCACGTTCCCTACGAGACTATTGTGTGTAGCGTAGCCAACACTGCCGCCAGACATCACACCGAGATGCGAAGATAATGGTCGCCCCCCCCCCCAGCACCCCCAAACCACCAAAACCACAAAATCTTCACTGATCGTTTCTCCTCGTCGCTCTCCTCCTCAAACCACAAAATCTTCACTGATCGTTTCTCCTCGTCGCTCTCCTCCTCCTCCTCCTCCTCCTCCTCCTCCTCCTCCTCCTCCTCTCCTCCCCTCCTCCTCCTCCTCCTCCTCCTCCTCCTCCTCCTCCTCCTCCTTCCCTGCGTCTCCCAAGCCAAGGAAACCTAACATGCATTGTGTATGGCGCCGTCGGTGCAAGGAAATGCTGTTTTTTTTGTCTGAGAAGCAAGGAAACGCTGTGTATGTTTGTTTTGTTTTTTTTTTTGGTTTTGCAAGCCCGAATGCCCGCGCTGGCCTCCCTCTCAGCACCCTTCCATGCGCCTCAGACCAAGAAAACCAAACATACACAGTGTTTGGCGCCCTCGGTGCAAGGAAACGCTGTGTATGTTTGGTTTTTTGGTTTTTTTGGTTTGAGAATCAAGGAAACCTTGTGTATTTTTTTTTTTGGTTTCGCAAACTCTAAGGGTGCTGGGAGGGAGGCTGGTGCGAGCGTCGGGGCTTCCAAAACCAAAAAAAAACAAAAAATCCACAAGGTTCCCTTGATTCCCAAACAAAAAAAAAAAAAAAAAAAAAAGCGTTTCCTTGCACCGAGGGCGCCAAACACTGTGTATGTTTGGTTTTCTTGGTCTGAGGCGCATGGAAGGGTGCTGAGAGGGAGGCCAGCGCGGGCATTCGGGCTTGCAAAACAAAAAAAAAAAAAAAAAACAGCGTTTCCTTGCTTCTCAGACAAAAAAACAGTTCCTTGCACCGACGGCGCCATACACAATGCATTTTAGGTGTCCTTGGCTTGGGAGACGCAGGGAAGGAGGAGGAGGAGGAGGAGGAGGAGGAGAGGAGGGGGGGAGGAGAAGGAGGGGGAGGAGGAGGAGCAGGAGGAGGAGGAGGAGATAAGATAAGGAGATAAGGAGATCAGGATGAGGAGAGGAGGACGATGAGAAGGACGACGAAGATGAGGAGGATGCACCCCCCCCCCTCCCCAGTCCGTCGTTTGGGGGTGCTGGGGGGGGGGCAAGCCGACTTGGTCGTCCTCGTCCTCGTCCACCATCGTCCTCGTTCTCGTCTCCATGTTCCTCGTTCTTGCCCTCGTCGCTCTCCTCGTCCTTGCCCTCCTCTGCCTCTTCTTACTTCTTATCCTCCTCCTCCTCCTCGTCCTCTCGTCGTCGTCACTATAATCCTCCGCCTCCGCCTCCTCCTCCTCCTCCTCCTCCTCCTCCCGCTCCTCCTCCGCGTCCTCAACTCACCGTGGTTACCCGCTTTGATTTACTATGTGCCTCATCCTCCCATGCCCCGTCAACTTTCGTGGGCAGCGTTTCTGAATGGGCTGGTTGGGATACGCGAAGCTTCAAGACTTGTATGTTCTTTGTCTGCACGTTCTGCTACAATGCGAAATGGATTCATAGCATGGTCGCGGGCACCGTCTGATGTGATGGTGTGCTTCCCCCAGAACCCATCATCCACGAATCAAGGACGTGCCATACTTGCGACGACGACGTGTGACAATGCAAGCGCGAAAACAAGATCGCGTCGACTGCGCAGTCGCAGCTCGTTAACGGGAAGAACATAATCGAGCGTTCGAGAAAGCACATTGGGAGACAAGCACGTTCCCTACGAGACTATTGTGTGTAGCGTAGCCAACACTGCCGCCAGACATCACACCGAGATACGAAGATAATCTAATTACACCAAGGAGAAAACTCAATCAGTGCATGGTTTGTACAATTTGGCAGGTGCTCAGTGGTGAGATCGATCGAGTGAGATGGATAATGAGATCGATCATGAGATCGATGGTGAGCGCGATCGTCAACGGGGAATCCGGGAATCCGGAACCTGGAACCAAGAACCCAACTGGCTACCGAAATCGGCCCGAGACATTCGCCAAATCTTTCAACATCCGCTAGGACCCCTTCGGTGCAAGCACTGATTAGGGAACGATGCCAGTTTGATCGCCGCCTCCGTCCTTCGCGCTATTGCTTACTGTGCTAGTGCGCCCCGACATGCGAACTCCAAGCAGACCAGAACAGCAGATTCCGCCCAGGGCCCCAAGCAGAAGACAAGACAGATGTCATGATGCGATTCGCCCAATATACGTCCCAGGTGAACAGGAGTAGCTAGCGATCCTTGTCTCTAGATCCCGCGCAGAACGCTTGGAACACCTGCGAATCTTGGAACGTATCAGTATGCTGACTTCTTGGTCCTCCAATG